ATTAGGGAAGGAGGAGTTCAACAATTTAGAATTTCCCATTGAGTTTCCTATGGCTCGTTTGGTGATTCACCACCAGGTATATCATATTATTAAAAAATTTATGTCAGATGGAGTAAACACTATTATTTCGATATAAACTACCAATTTGTTTAAGAACAAATAAAAAACACGAAATAATAGTTATAGTGATGCATTAATTATATTAATGCATTCGAATTATATGCATTTGTAAAGTGACTTTAAGGGGTAGTCTGAACAATGTATTATATTTCTGCAAAATTTTGGAGTACGCTAAATTCGTAGAACAATTTTAACATGTGTTTTTAATGCAGATTGCAGTCCTCTACAAATAGCTTCTTATGACTTTTGATGTAAAATAATTAGGGAAGGAGGAATTCAACAATTTAGAATTTCCCATTGAGTTTCCTATGGCTCGTTTGGTGATTCACCATCCGGTATATCATATTATTAAAAAATTTATGTCAGAGGGAGTAAACACTATTATTTCGATATAAACTACCAATTTGTTTAGGAACAAATAAAAATCACGAAATAATAGTTATAGTGATGCATTAATTATATTAATGCATTCGAATTATATGCATAAATTGTTTGCTTCTATTCGGATATTACAGAAATGTTATTGAAACTACAATGCTAGTTAACATTGGAATTAAAAGAAGACGAAAAAAAGAAAAATCAGAGAATCAATAGAAATAGAAAAAAATCTTAACAGTCTAAACCAAAGAGATGATGAAGTCAAAAATATATCAGACCACAAGATCGATTAGTAGGACCCCTCCTACCTACACACGGATATGACCAATCACAAGAAGCTTTGCCAAGGACCGTTCGAGAGAAGCGCGCCTCGATCGGCTATATAAGTATCCGCATTGACCAGGACAGTCAGTTTACTTCAACTACCTGACTTGACAGTGCTAAGTACGACCTTGCCGAAACACAAAATTTCACAGAACTACAGAAAGCATATACATTATACATCTGGACCGAGACTCTAGTACTTTTCCTTCAAGGAAACGAAGAAAAGCCATAACTATACGAGGAAGAAGACATACTGCAATAAATACAATAAAGTTCTTTCTTACACCAAAAGAAACCTATCAAGTTTCAAGACTGTATGACTTTTCCTTCAAGAAAATATGGCGTAAGAATATAAGATATAATATATAAAAATATAAGCCCAACTAATCTATACAGGGTGGTCATTAAGTAATTGTACAAAAGAAACAGTAGATTAGCAGATATTTGATGCACACTTTGATGTAGCTGATAGAGGGCGCCACATATGCCACATCTGTGGCATACATTTGCACTTAACTTTTTTGCTCTTTAAGTTACCGGTATTTGTGATTAAAAATATTAAAGATACATTATTTTAACAAAAAAAGATATACCTGTTAATAACTTCAAAATTCAACAGTTTTCGAGGTAATCACATTTTAAAATGAGCTGGATAATTCTGATTTAAGGTAATTACTCCAGGCAACGAATGAAAAATAGACAAAAACATTACTTCTGAATTTTGGTATAAAATACCTTTAACTAAAGTTAATAGTTAACGAAATATTACCTAAAAAATATATCAGCAGGATAATAAATAATAGGATTTTACATCAAACATTTTACGTTTTATGTTAAATTAAAATCACAACCTAAACATTTTCTAAATATTGCACTTATTTAATACAATATACAATACTGGTATTATACCTCAAGAGTGGCTGTTGTCTACATTCGTTACACTGCCAAAGAAATCTAATGCTAAAGAATGTTCAGAACATCGAACAATGTCTTTAATGAGCCACCTACTAAAGATATTTCTAAAAATCATCCACAACCGAGTTTATCAAAAGTTGGAGTCAGATATTAGTAATACACAGATGGGGTTCAGAAAAGGGCTTGGTGCTCGAGAAGCTCTCTTCGGTTTGAATGTTCTCACACAAAGATGCCTAGACGTTAATCAGGAGGTACATACGTGTTTTATCGAATTTGAAAAAGCGTTTGACAGAGTACACCATGATAAGCTTAGAGAGATTCTTGAAAGGAAGGACATAGATAATAAAGATCTGCGAATAATTCTCAATCTATATTGGAATCAGAAAGCTAACATCAAAATAGAAACTGAAACATCACAAGCAATAGAAATACGTAGAGGAGTACGACAGGGTTGCATTTTGTCACCTCTGTTATTTAATGTATATAGTGAAAGCATCTGTCAGGAAGCCCTTTTACAAGCAAACGGAGGAATCGTAATTAATGGAGAGATTGTAAATAATATTCGATACGCGGACGACACTGTACTAGTTGCAAGAACAGTAGAAGAATTACAAAGATTACTTACAGACATAAATATTGCTTGCAACAATTATGGTATAAATATCAATATTAAAAAAACCAAGTATATGGTCTTCAGTAAAAACATGACACAACCAGCGTATATTAGTATAAACGGCACTCAAGTTGAAAAAGTATCAAGTTACAAATACTTGGGAACTTTAATAAACGAAACTGGAGACCAAAACAGTGAAATAAAAAGACGTATCGAAATTGCCAGGGCCACCTTCATAAAGATGAGAAAATTCTTCTGCAACAGAAATATAAGCATCCCTCTACGATTAAGAATGCTGAGAGGCTATGTATTTAACACGCTATTATACGGTGTAGAGGCCTGGACTCTCAAACAGAACAACATGAAAAATATTGAAAGTTTCGAGATGTGGTGCTACCGTCGAATGCTGAAGATTAGTTGGGTTGAAAGAATAACAAACTGTGAAGTAATACGAAGAATAGGAAAAGACCCAGAGATTTTGTTAACGCTAAAGCGAAGAAAACTCGAATATTTTGGTCACCTGATGAGAGGACATAAATACGCATTACTTCAAAATATAATGCAGGGAAAATTAGAAGGAAAACGGAATCCAGGCCGTAGAAGAATGTCATGGTTGCGGAATTTGAGAGAGTGGTTTGGCTGCACCACTAATGAACTCTTTAGGTCAGCCGTAAACAAGGTCAGAATAGCCTCGATGATTTCCAATCTCCGATAGGAGTGGCACAAAAACAAGAAGAAACATTTTGTTTACAAACCAAACTAAGAAAGAGTTAAGCTAAATAACATAACTTTTTGTTAAAGTAAATCCATCATTTTCTTTAATTCATTTTTCAATATATTCCATAAAAGATCGTCTCATATTAAATGGCATCATTGGTTCTAAAGAAACTGCTGCAGTATTTATTTCCCATAGTTGGTTGCAAATGTTTATGGGATTCTTATAGACACGTTGTTTTAATGCTCCGCATACACCAATATCAAGCGAATTAAATTCTGGCATACGTGGTGGCTATAATGTATAATGGATGAATACATTCTTTTGAATACAAATCCAAATCTTATGGTATATTATGAACTACATATTATTTGTCGCACAGGTTAAATAATGTATTAAACTGTGATGTATCTCATTCATTGGTTACTTATATCCTATCGATGACATTACTTATTTATATGATTACGTTACAGCTTACGAGTATGATTTATTGTATAACGAGTATGTCATGATTTACTAACGAACTAATACTATGCTGACTTAATTGCCTGTGTTTTTACTATATTTATAACGATATCGGTTATTAGGCCAACAATGATGTTTTTGTAAAAATGCTGAGTCTTTAAGATTACATTTGTAACAAAAGTATTATGAAACAAGACACGTATGTGTTATTCAATACCTGTGCTCTAGTTTCTAATTGTTCTAATAAAAATGGGTAAACAATTTACGTAATGAATAATAAGTATTCTTTTGGGATTTTTATGAATTAAATAATTATATCAATATCTCACCACATTGCCAAGGAATATGACTACCACGATCAATCCAACGTTTAGAAAATTTGTATTTAAGTATGTTCTCACTGCCTTCTCTCTAGAATGTGGTGGTGTATCATCTTGCATAAACCACATATTTTGGGTTTTCAGCATTTTACAATAGAGAAAAAGTAATACAACGAGAGTATAGAAACTTAAGAAGCGATAGAAAAAGGGAAATTGTGAACATGAGGGCCAACGTCTTAATACAGACACGGCACCTAAAGAAGAAAATGAAGAATCGTTTCTCCAATAAGACATTTAGCAGCCATAACAAAGCATTTTGTGATGTTACATTATCATCATTAAATTATCTCATATCACAACTAAGAATTATTATATAGCTGACTTATAAAATGCGATTATCTCGAAAACGGTTGAATTTTGAAGTTACTATCAAGTATACATTTTCTTTGTAAAAATAATGCATCCTTAATATTTTTTAACACAAATAGGGCTAACTTAAAAAGCAAAAAAGTTAAGCGCAAATGTTTGCCACACATGTGGTGCCCTCTATCAGTTACATTAAAGTATGTTTATTAGTAAGTAAAATTATAATTTATCCTACTCAAAAGCATCCAATTGTAAATTTTTGTCGAAAAATATTTACAAACGTAAAGTTATAGCGAAAAATAAAATTTTAAATTTTCATAACCTTTCCTATAACACCCTGTATCTTTCTTAATATCAACATTTTATTAAGACAAGTTGGCTTAAATCGTAATATTTTAAAGTGCAGAATCTACGGTTTCTTTTTGTATAATTACTTAATGACCACCTTGTATACAAAATTTTAAGGCTCTAGATTTTATTAAAAAAGAGAGTGCATAAGAATATGAGAAGACCTATTGACCCCAAAGTCATTTTAAGACTTTAGCGCCTCTATTAAAAGTAACAAACAAAAAGGACATATCGGTTTTTTAAAAGAATATAGTTTTTTTTTTTTAGATTATATCTTATTCTAAAATTTGTTAAGTTACCTTGTCTACACCTGTTATACTCTGCTTAAATAGCTAGGTATCTAAAGTTGTATGTCATGGAGAACTGTATACAATGATGTAATAACAAATACTAATAAAACATTTTGTGTATCTGACTTATTATATAAACAACCTACCATGTGACATGAAAGTAAGTCCTACACATTCCCGCATCACATCCAATGCAAACACCAGTTCTGGAAAAACGATCATCTTCACACAACGAACAAGTCTTTGTACCCCACTTATTGTAAGGCATCTCAAACAAAGTGACGCTGGTTAATTTATCTACCTCCCCAAAGGCTACTCCTGGTACATAGAGGGCACAGACCAGATGCACCCATTTCCCAACATCAGTTTCTTTGAAGATCCCTCCTGAGTTCGGACATAGTTCACACACTGGTTCAGTAATACCTGAAAATATATTTCTGTTGAAAGTAATGAACCATGTTTTAATAGACAAATAACAGAGGAAGCAGAAATTACTTCGTGGGGGGTTAGATTGTAGGTTTAAAAAGAGTCGATTGACTTCATAGAACTTTTCATACTGCGACATGACCGATCGTTTGTGTATAGCCTACATTTATGTTTAGTCCAATACATTTGTGTTTCTAACAAAGCTTGTTATTAAAGACCTATTCTAGGTACTTATGGCGATGGCGAATCCTTTCCCTCTAGATGCAACAATATGTTTCTACTGCATTTCGCAGGTTTTACCTGAGTGAGCAGTATCCAGTGACAACACTTTACTGCATTTCAGTTTTCTAAAGCTCTAAGAGTATCTTTGCGTAGCGAGAACGTTGTAATAACATTTTTATCCTAGTAGGCTACACAATTTCATTATGCAGGTTTTTGGTACACAGCAGAATAGCTCTGGACTGATAAAAGGCCTCCAGTTACTAAAGAGGCTGTTTGCAGTTCCAAACTGCTATATGTTATAGAGCCTTCAGTGCAGCTTGGTTATCTGAGGCAATAAATCTTTTAGCTGAATTCAGGCTTTTTTAGGCACATTTGAGCACAAAAATCTGTTACTAAATTTTCGGCTTGAAATAATGTATGTATATTTCAGAGGACTAACGACAGTCTTATTAGAGAGGTATTAGGACCAATAACCCACATTCCTACCCCTTCTTGTGTTTTTGATCCATCAGTATAAAACGTGAAGACAATCCTTGTGGTTTGTGCGATTTCGTTTTGTGTTAATTCATGCTCGTTTATAATATTTACTTAAAGTGCAAAATCTTGTTTTGTAAACATATTGTCTGTGGACAACTTTTGGATTGCGTTGTTCCAACTTCCAACCTTTAAAATGTCTAGATCCTCAGTCAGCTCGCCGGGTGATGAGCCCGTGTTAGACTAAAGGAAGTTTCTAGATCGATTCTCCTTATGTTTATGGGTAGAGGGTATTACCTCTAAAGGCTGCAGCACGGCACAATCCCATTACACTCGTGAATCTTTCACATGCGAGTTTTTGCACTTTCCACAACTCTATTACTGCTCTATTATCTGTGTCATAGCATGACAACATTTATGGCCATCTTCAAGAAATAGGTTAAAATTTAGAAGACAGACTGAAGATTGGCAACATTTTGATATCGATAACGCCAATCATGCTGAAAAACATAAGTGAATCATTTTATGATCGCTTAGATGTTGAGAAAATAGTGACGATGAAAGATGTCGTATTTTTTACAATTTTAAGTAAGGTAGTTGAAGTTATCACCTAATATAACATTTTTTTAATAAATAAAAATTTTAAAATTCAAAACTCTATATTTTATTAAAATTATTTTTTTTTGCTTTTTTAAGAATATTCTTTAGCTAAAACGGCGATTAACAGTTAATACGGAAAGAAATATTTAAATAAAATATTGGATAAGCAAACTGTTTTTGAAGTGTGTAATTTTTTTTAATTCCTAGCTAAGCGCTTGCGGCTCACAAAGTCATCCTCCGAGTTATGGTCAAGTTTTAAAAAGCCCCACTACTAGAAAATGGATTCCATTTAAACACATAAAATACAGAACATTGGTCTCCACAAAAAAACATATCTAATACGTCTGCCGCTTCAATCCAACCCAAACGGGTTCTTACACCCGTACCATAAACAAAAATTTTTTAACGATTTTTTTTTTGTAGTCCAATCTTCAGTCTTTGTGTGTTTTTTCGCAGCAGTTTTTTAACTTTTATAAGTAAAAAAAAAGAAAATTGTGAATTTTTCCACCAAATGGGATCCCTCCCTAGTAGTGATGCTTTTTAAAACTTAACATAGCTCTGAGAATGGATTTGTGAGCCTAAAGCGGTCAGCTAGGAATTAAAAAAAAAAGTTACACACTTCAAAAATACTTTTCTTTTTCATTCTTTTATTTGCCATAAGTGTGTACAAAAAACATATCAGTCTTTTCAATTAAGAAATAGTTAGTAATTTAAAGTGACCTAATTTTGTAGTTCATGTGACATGTACTCTACTAGCAATCAATTATTAATTAACTTTCTTTCTCTTCTCTAATATTCATAACATCATGGCGGTGATTTAAAAATAAGTGGGGAGTGGCTGTATACATTTATATGAAGTTTTGCAGCAATATTTACGTTCCTTTCTTGAATTTCCAATGCTGTATATATAAATCATATTAAATCAATATTATTACACATTTATTTTTTTGAAACAATTATATAAATTCTCAGATTTTCCTAACCTGCTTTGCATGATTCACAGAACCAAGGAGTTGTTGGTGACAGTGAGTCAGTACTGGATACACTGTTAGAATCAGAAACACCATAACAAGCTTCATGTACAGTGACTCCACAACCATCACATTCAACAATCTCATTGACTCCATCACTTTGGTCTCCAAGGCATCCACAACAGATCATTATCTGGGCATCCTTTTCATTAAACTAAAATAATATATCCTTATTAGATAATATATCTACTATATTTCAGAATGTACTTATTAAGTATATTAACAATACACATCAAATCTAGTTTACCTTCAATTTAGACTTGGCTGCTTGTTCTATCACATCAGCAACAGATCTTTCCATACCATTTGTTTTGGGTTGATTAACATCTTTTAACATTTCTAAATCGGAATCTTCAGATTCATCTTCATTATCTTCGCTAACCTCAGCACCTGAAAATAATTTACAGTAATACCCGTAATATTAAAATATTAAGCGCAATGTACAAAGCAGAAAAAATACCAACTGGATGGAAATTGTGTGTATGATTTGATATAATTGGCTTTGGGAGCTAGTCCATTTGTCATATTTATATCTGTTCATATGTTCTAATCGTTTAATATTATAAATTTTTTTATTCTGTTTACATATTTTTGAATAACTCTAAATCACAAGTGTTAATTTTACTCTAAGAAATAACACTTGTGTTGAAAACGTTGCTCTACCATAATGTGTAACCGGAG